GGAAGATATTCTGAAATCAAATACATTCAAATGTACAAGTTTTTATACAAGCAGTCTAACTTTATATCCAAATTTCGTAATGTTCATATCGTTTATATCTGGTGGTATTCACTTAAGTTCTGAAACCCCATTTGGGATTGCCTATAAAATCGTATTGTAAACAAATATTGTACGGATTAGCAATAGGTATCAGTTGGATATAAACAAGAATTGCCTAAAAGATTTGGTTGATAGTACTCTACCTATAAAATGTAGTTTTTGTTTTGTATTACGTTTCTAATAAAATTCAGAGTATCATTTGATGTGTCAGGATTCTTATTACCTTTTTTGAAAATAATTAATTCAATAAACATTCAATAACTCTTGAAATAATTTAAACGTTCTTTTTATTAGTTTAGTTATATATATTTCTCAATATATCAATTGTAAAGTAATTTTTAAGTTTATCGCTTATATCTAATAACGCAGTCAACTTTATTTTTTTTTAATAACAACATACGCTTATCACAACGTACGCGTATCAGGCTTATAAAATAAAAGTTGACGTAATTAAAGAAGTTACTGATCTATAACAATTTTTGGTTCGGAACTTCAAAATTTATTGCAATTTTAAATACTAGCTGAGAGTTAGATGCGGATAGAGCTATTTTTATTATTAGATGCCCACCCTCATCATCCACCTTAAACATACAAATATTAATGACTTCTGAAGAACTGTTCCGAAAATTTTTATCGACTAATTATTTTCTTAGTTATATGATTTTTTAATAGTAAAGCTAATTAAATACTTACATTGTCATTTAAAAAAACCCAGTACAGTGGGGTCGTGGCACAGTGAGGACGTAGCATAATTAGGTCCAATATTCAGGGTGATTCATTAAGGATAAGACATTCATTTTCTCAGTAACTATTGAAAATTTTAAACTTTTAGTAAGGAAAATATTGTTTTATTTAAAAAACTACAATAATATGTAGTAAAAACACAATTTTTTTCATCCCTTCAAGGTTAAAAAACATTAACTTAAATTTTCTTAAATAGGAATCCCTATTTTGAATATGTTATTATGATTTAAAATAAAAATACAAACAACTTTGCGCTTAAAATTTTTTTTCCGATCAACCGTTCGTCTGTTAAAGTTAAATGATTTTGGACTAAATTTATATTATTATTTTACTATTTTCAAAAGCAAAATTCTAACTCAAAAAGAATTGAGGAAAAATTGCAAAAATTTACTGAATAAGCAAACGTTAATCGCATTCGTTTTTTAATAAAATTGGCAATTTAAGCTAGTTTAAATGTTAAAATTAATTTTTTCGCCTCAAAAGAAAAAAAAATTGAAATATGTTTTACATTATATTCTATGTCAATTAGTTTTATAATATTTGATTATACAACTTGTGTGTAAAAATTGTTATTTTGTATACCCCTGTGGTCAGGTCAAAAGTCAGATTTTCAAAAAATGTATATCAAATAATAGAATTAAACATAAAATATTTATGAAAAAATAAATGATCCATACATTTTTCAAATAATTATAATAACTTAAAGTTTAAAAAATAAAATATGAAATCTTAAATTTTAACACCAAATTTCATGTTTTTTATCTACGGTAATCATTCTCACATAGAAGATAAGTTGTCAGGACAAATCTTTTTTTGAACTTATAGTACATAACAATAGCTTTATTTTCACATATATTTGTAATTGGAAGAATTTCCGGAACATATTCAAAACTTAATTTGAAAAAGTTATATTTGAGTGCAGTAGTTGCAATTTTAAATCCCCTCTGTGGACAAGTAAAGGGTAAGATTTTCAAAAAAAATGTATATCAAACAAAAGGAAAATAAGGTTTCAATATAAAAAGAATTATTTTAATTTGTTAATTTTTCAATAAATTATGACAATTTTTAGAGAAAAAAAATGTTGAAATTTACCAATTTTAAAAATGGTAATTATTTTGGGGGATTTTCACTATTTATGGGGAACCAGGGCAAAATTTTTAATTTTTGTGGATTATATCTTCAACTAGATATAATTTGTGATCTTTTGATGTATCGTTGAGAAAAATCGTTCAATGAGAGCTGAGAAAAAAGAATGACAAACACAAAAAAAAAATAAATAAACACATCAAGGTAAAATTAATAACTTAAAATTTAAAAAATGTCATAAATTAGCGATTTATATATTTGTAATTTTTTTGGAGTTTCCCCCGTTAAAATTAATTGATTTTATATGTTAAGTGTTTACATAACAAACAAGAATTTTAAAGTGATTCTGTAAGAATTAATTTATTTTTATAGACTTCTTTAATTATTTCATTAAAATCAATCAAATGTATACATTTCTCTAAAAATATGTGAATAACATTTCCTTGACGTAGAATAATTAGAACAAATTTGTTGTGAAAACATGTTTTCTTTACCACTAAGTTATTTAATTCACTTTTTCTCTCTTCTATTATTCATACAAAAATAAATTCACATCAATTTTGTATTATTCTTCCACAAACTTATTTATAAAAAACTAGTTTATAGAACAGAAATAATAGATAACAATTTTCAATCGTTACAAGACAAAACAAGGTGCATTTATTTGTGTCTATTATGGAGATGTCCCTAAAATGTCAATTCCCTTGTCACAGGAAATGATTTAAATCTACTTTGTGTCATCGTTAAAAAAGCAAGTTCAATGAAATTTAAAATCAATAATACCTAAGAAATTTCACTTTTGTTGTAAAATCATGTTTAAATGATTGAAAAATAAATAAAGCATCCATAAATTAGTTTTATTCAACTAAAATGTAAATTAAAATGAACACTCTACTATTTAAGTATTTTTTATTTATTTATTATTTCAAGAGTGTGGGTGGAATAACAGAAGATTTTAGGGTAAGAGTAGAAGAACACTAATTTCTGCTTTAAGCCCTTGTCTTCTGTAGTGATTAAAGAGTTACTAAAGAAATATAAAGAGATTAATTAACCAAACGCAAGAATTGTGGAGTTCGGTTAAAGGAATTACAATAAGTAGAAATATGATAGAGTATATAGAGTACGAGTTTGAAAAAGGAGAACACGAAGTAGGTGAAAAGAGAAGATCAATGGTAAAAGTGAAGTCGTATTAGGAGAGGTAGATAGTTTTAAGTATTTAAAATCAGTTGTGCAAAAAGGGTAATATTGATGAAGATGTTAGACACAGAATTAAGTACAGGTGTGTGAAATGGAAAAAAGCGTCTGGTGTGTTATGTGATAAGAAATTTCCAATGAGGCTAGAAGTTAAGTTATAGAAGACTGTAATGAGACCAGCCTTAATGTATAGTTTGGCTGTAGAATAGTAGTGTAGAGTGTTGGGCGATAACAAGAAAATAGAGCAGAGATGAGAATGCTTAAATGGACGTGTGGAGTGACTAGAAAAGATAGAATAAGGAATGAACATATAACATATTTTCAACAATGTTCTAGGAAATCTCCATCTTTTAAATATAAATGAAAACTTATATAATATATTATATGTTACAAAAAAAGTTGAGAGAGAAATCGAAAGCTATAAGAATAGTTTATGGAATTAATATTGTAGTAAGAAGAGGTAGAGGAAAACCAGATAAGAGACGGAGGGATGTTATTGAACGCGATATGAAGATTGCTAATGTGTGCGAATATGACGTACTAAATCGTGTCCAGTGGAAGTTAAGAATAAGGATTGCCGACCCCAAGTAGTTGGAATAAAGGCGAGGGAAAAAAAGAGGAATTTATTATTTGATTAATATATTGAATGTTTATATATAAAATTTAATGCTTAAAAAGTATAAAAAATTAATTTTGAAGTATTGAATTAAATAAAAAAAACTTTATGACTTCTTTAATTTAGTTATTTTAATATTCAAATGATAAAAATATAAAAACACATGCTTACGATAGTTTGAGTTCCTAAAAAAATGTTGAATTATACTTTATCTACACTAAAATCATCTTTTTTAAAAAAAAAACTGATATAGAGAGCGTTCAGTAAGTAAGGAAACAGATTTCTATTTTTCTCATTATTTATAACTATTTACCTGTTTCCTAACTTACTGAACACTATATATATAGTTGACAGCAATACTGATAAGAAATACTATTCAAGTATATTTAATTTACTGTAGTTAAAAAAATTGAACATATTTATTTTCTAATTTTAACATGGTGTTATTGAATTCTATCTTTTCAACTTACATTATCTATTAAGTACTTCATTTATTACTTTCAACAACATATTGTTACATATTTCTAAAACTATTATATTTTGTATCACTTCTATTTTATTTACTTTATATATCATTAATTCCATAAAAACCATTTAATAAATTTAAATCTAAACTTTCACTCGGTTTGCTCTTATATTTATATTATGTGTGATAGCCTTATAGTACCACGTATATACATAACTAAGATAAGATATTAAATATATATAAAGTGATTTTTAAACTATAAATATAATAAAAATTGATCACTTGTGGCTAATTAATTAAAACTATATTAAAAATATTATTAATTTAAAAACTAAAAAATATTAATCTCAAAAGCCACAAAAAATTACTGAAAAGTCACAGATAAGTATTTCGGAAACAATATTACCATAATCAACGCTAAACACATACTGACACACCATTAGAAAAAAAATTCCTTATATACCCCTAGTGACTTTATAACCTAGTGACGTCATCACTAAGTAATATTTAAACTATAACTCTCGCAAAATCTTTAAAAGTATAAAACATATTACAATTTTTTTTTTTTTAATTTATAATATCCTATTTCATATATTTAAAAAATAATTTGAAATAAACATTGATCAATTCATGATGACAATAATTATTTTAAAGGAATAGTACAGTTAAATTATATAGTAACCATTATTAAACTATAAAAATAAAAATTATTTGAGTTAGAAGTTTATTAAATTGAAAATTTATATAAACTATTACTACAATTAAAATTCATAGTTTTATTTTTATTTGTTATAGAAAAACTCAATGTGGCGACACATACTGAATATAAGATGACCAAATGCACGGACAATGCTTGGTATCCAGCTTATACAGCTGATAATTATGGTGATAGTGTATTTCGGTACTACCATCGCCGACTGGACAGATTGTCCAGCTCCTTGTCAATGCAAATGGAGTTCAGGAAAAAAGACTGCACTTTGTAAAGATGTAGGATTTACCAAAATTCCATCTGTATTAAACACCGATATGCAAGTATTAGATTTGAGTTCGAATAGTATTGGCCATTTACCAGAAGATTCTTTTAAATCAGTGGGTCTCCTTAATTTACAACGTATATTTTTACGAAGTTGTGGTATAAGAATTGTACATAAAAATGCTTTTCGGGAACTTAAAATTCTTGTTGAACTTGATCTAAGTGACAATTTGATTGCATCAATTCATCAAAATACTTTTCAAAGTAATGAACGTTTGCGAGTACTGTATTTAAATGGTAATCCTTTGACTGAAATTAAAGAAACACAGTTTCCTATATTACAACATCTTCGTACAATTGAAATGCAACATTGTCAAATCAAAAAAATTCATCAAGATGCTTTTATTCATTTGTCTTCCCTAGAGTCGTTAAATCTTAACGGAAACCTGTTAAAATCGCTCTCGGAAACTGTATTTTTACCCATTTCCAAATTGAAAACTTTATCATTGGATGGCAATCCATGGGTGTGTGATTGTCACCTTAGAAATTTTCGAAATTGGTTTGTGGCTTCTAATCTCTATTCTCATACACATTCATGTATTGAACCACCAATATTATCAGGCACCCGGTGGGAAAATATTGAACCGCAAGATTTTGCATGTTCACCTAGTGTAAAAATAGATAAAACTAATGTATTAGAAGAACCTGGTAATAATGTCACATTTATATGTGAAATAACTGGTGATCCTGAACCAGAAATAAATTGGTACTTCAATGGCCATAATTTAGAAAATTTCACAGATCGTTTGGAAGAAAATCGAACTTGGTTAGAAATAGGTAAATTATGGAGTGTACTGAGCGTATCAAATGTATCTGAAGATATGGCTGGTGAATATACATGTGAAGCTAAAAATTCACGTGGAAAAATATCAATGAATACATCATTAGTATTACCAGAAATAGCTGTTGCTACAACACTCAGTAAAACAAAATCTGTGTATTTTATGATGGTTTGTGTTGCAGTTAGCGTCACAGCATTGTTATTTACTGTAGGCTTAACTTGCTGTATTTGCCAGGTAAGGAAGACATCTGGAAGTAACGAGCGTCTAAACGGAAAATCAAATTTTAAAGGTAGTGCCAGTTTTAGTGATGCTGACAAAAGGCTATTAGATGCTAGTATATCTACAACACAAGCGGGAAGTTGTGAAGTTCTCGGAAGTGGATCACCCTCATGTCAAGATCTCGAACTTATGGAACATTCTTTACATAATATCCCATTAGCATCTATTTGTGATCAACAGCCAGTACATATAACAATTGAGAATCATGATCCAAATACTGACGTTTCTCTATATCCACCACCACCAGAGTTTTCAACAAGTATTTTACCATCTATTAGTGGCTATGGAAACATATTTATTTCTGTTTCTGTTAGTCAGGAACCTCATGAACAAGAATCAAGTTATCCTGACCTATTGGATTTAAAACATAGACAAAAACAACATGTCAGTGTAGGTACAGCTGATCACCAACAACATCAAATACCAATATCTTCTTATTATGCAACAATGCCTAGAAAAAATCGTTTAAAAGATTCGTATAATCCACAATATCGACAATACCATAATAATATTAAATCTCCAATAGCTCCTCAATACGATAATATGGGTCCAAGAATAACAGTTACCGGTAGCTGTACAAACCTATCATTATTATCAGTCAGTGGTGGATCTTCTGATGAAATTCCACCACCTCCTCCTCCACCAATTTGCATGGGTCACACTGACTACGTAGCCTTATAAAAATCAATTTTGTATATGGGCTCATTATAATGAGTGAATAGTTATAATTATTATCAATTAATTTCGGTAATGTAAGAACTGTTAAATTATTAAATGGTTATAAATTTTAGTTCTTTTAAAATTAAATTTTCTGACAAAAATAGATATTGATTAAACAAAAATCGTTAATGGATACATAAAAAAAAAAAGATAATTTATAAAATAATATTATAATAAAAGGGTAATGACGAATAGCACAACTAAAAACATTAATTGTGTAAATGTAAAGAAGAAAAATTATATCACTTGTTGTGAATTCTGTTCTAAATTTTGTTTCACAATGTCAATAGCCAAAACTTGACAATCTTTCATTTTTCGTATCAGTTTTTAAAATAATTTATCTAAAATAATCATTAATGCGCTATTTTTTTTTATAAATACAATTTTTATATTTCATATTATTTTTAATATATACGATTTTAGATAGTAATTTTTCTTCATTTTATTTAAATTTAATTGAATTACATTGAAAAATTAAAACTACATTTTTATTTTAAACATACTCTCTTAAATTAACATTAAAAAATTTACTTTTCATATAAAAAATTAATTAATTTCTAAAATTAAAAATTAGAACAATTTAAAATATTTTTGTAGAGAACTTCAATTATGTTCATTTATTTTTGTGTTGTTCACATTTTTATAAAAAAAAAATATATATAATGATACATCATTATATTGTATATAATGATTATTATTACACAATGTATATAATATGTACATCGTATATACATATACAAAATTCATTTCATTCTTTTTATATGATTCTAATTATCTTTTTTGGATTTTAATATATTATAAAATTTCTTTAAAATAAAGTGATATAGTTTTGAATTTTCTATTGTATTTGTTAGAATTGTTGTATATCTGTATAAATGTTGTATATCAGTTATTGCAAATTTCCATTAATTAATAAAAATATATTTTAATTTAACTCATTCAATTAACATGAGAAAATGTAAACAATACAATATTACTTATTTTTAAATACTCACAGTTACTCCGAAATTTAATTAATTTAATGCCTTTCTTAAATTCATAAATTTATTCTGCTACTATTTTGATTATTGGAAATTACAAAAATTAAATTATTTTGCCATGCAGTGGTTTTGTTGCTGCACTGGACAATAACAAAAAAAATAGACCATTCAAAATATACACACCAAATAAAATAAAAAAATTAAAGGTGTCAAAATGTTTCTTTCAGTTTGCTATAATTTTCAACAATAAAACTCAATCAAAATAATATATTTTTAAAAAGGAAATAACTAAAAATAATACAACAGAATATTATTGATGTACATTGAAATTTAAACATTTATTTTTATTTAAAATTTAGTCGTTTGACAATCTTTCCACAGAATGATTTTAGTTAACATTCAATTTTTATTAATGACATTACGAATAATTAGATTTACAAAATATAAAATTTGAGGTATATGTATTTACTGATACGTTATATTTATAATATTATTGATTTCTTAATTTAATTTCTAATTTTTTTTTTTACACATTATTTATAGTATTTATAATTATGTTATTTGTATATTCTCATTATTATAATTTATAGATACATTATTTTATATGAACCAATCACTTTACTACAAACTGCTACAACTTATAAATAAATAAGTATAGTTGAATTCAAAATATACAGCTCAAACAATTATATTTTTTTGATTAATATTATAACATAAATAATAAATACTAAATTTCAAGAATCATCAGTTTCATAAATTTAGGTACAGTAGTTTCCGCAAAAAATTAATTTGTCACTAAATAGTATAAAAATGTAAATTTTATTTTACCTCTCCTGTTAAATAGTTATTTTAGTTATATTTCCAATCTTCTAGATAGGCAATACAATAAAATATCTGAACAAGTATAAAACAATAAATGTTTTTAACTAAACTTATAGTGTATTTATTGTTAAAAGTCTTTGATTCATGACAATATCATATTAGGATTCGTAAGGAATTGTGGCATTCACTATTTCTGAAAAAGTGAGAACTATTTTCATAACAAAGGACACTTTTTAGATACAAAATTTAATTTGGGGTGTATTGCTACTATTACTCCATTGTCTCAGCATCTGTTCAATAAATACATTTTTAAATAATAAAAAGAAAAGAAAAACGAAAAAATACTTTTTTAGCCACTAAACATTTTAAAATTGTCATTCGTTTGATCTTCATTTTTCTTATCTACTCATTCATCAGTATTTAATTCTATCACGTACTATTTAAATGTACTTTAATGTCTCTGATATTTAAAAAGAAAAAACTTTTTTTATTATAGTTTCTAACTCTTTCAGAGATTAAATAAATACTATGAATTTAACAATTGCAATTTTTTTCGACCAAAATATCAGATATGCAACAAATATAGAAACACAAGTTTTTAAGTAGGTAAAAGTTTGTTATTCTTCCAAAAAATATATGAAGAGTTTTTGTAAAATCCAATTGTATAAAACTATTTTATGTAAAGTTACCCAGAACATTTTTGTTTAAAATATTATTTTTAATGATTATGCTACAAAATATCAATCGCAAAAGACCTAATTAAACTTTTTTTAATATGATAAATGTTACGATAATTATTGTTTTTTATTGGTGTTTATCTATATTTAAGTTTAGTTAAAATGGTCTAATATGCAATTTTTTAAAAAGACTTCTTTAATTTTATGTTTGTAGATTTATTGTATTAAAAAATTTATGAAAAAAAAGGTAATGTAGTTATTTATTTGTATAATATATAAATATTACATAAATGTAATATAAATGAATTATTGAAAATAAAAATTTAATATGAGTAATAATTCTGATAATATTCCAGTATTATTTATTAGAATCCTTAAATTCATTTCCAAAGCATAGAATGCTTATCCTGGCGTTTAATAAATAAAAATTATTTTAATATAATTAATTTAATAAACATATAAACAGAATGACTTAAATAAACACAAAAAATGTTGCTCTGATCATCCTTCTTATCTATTAAATTTTTTAATTGGTATTATTCATGCTTAACTTGTTTGCAAATAAAAATATGTTTTTCTTTTATTCTTAAATGTAAATAACTTCTAAAATACTGGCAAAAAAGTAGTTATCAACAAGTCATTTTCTTAATTAGGATTTTTTAGATAGGTACATTCAGATAATAATTTGTTTTTATATCTTATTTTGAACTAAGTGCTTTGAGTTATACTTCACTGTTTAACATAAAATTATTTTGTATTATATTATTTTAATTAAAATAAATTATTTTCACAGCTATTTATATTTCACGAAATACAATATTGAACGCGAAATAACAATAACCAAAAAATAGTGGTTTTAATTTGAGCATTAAACATTATTGAACTGAATAGAATTATAATTGAAGTTTAAATAAATAATGTAAAAAGAAATAAAAATTAGATAACTTAATTATTTGTCTACGTACTTTAAATCATACAAGACTTAAAAAATTTTCATAATCTTGAAAGTTTTAAAAATAATTTCTTTCAAAAATGGCATTCCACTAATGTTTGAACAAATATTCCAAGTGGAAATACAATCTACCTTTGAAAAATTATGATTTTTACACTATGATAACATAGTGTAATAATTATATTATTTAATTATTTATAATTATACATTTTTCATTGCTTTTTATTGAGTAATTATTTATTGTAATCTAATAAAAAGTGCTATTTTAATGAACTTAGCATCGTATTATTTTTACAAATATGTAGTTTAAATTTTTTTCAAGTAACATTTTTTTTTCAATTTTTACAAAAAAAAAACATTTTCTAGGGCATGGATATGGCGTCTAAATAACTTTAATATTGGATACACCCTACCTCAAACGTAATTTCACAGTCTAATGGACTGTTATCAAATCAGAAACCTTAAAATTCCATTTGTTTACTAATACCGTTGAAATGTAATCAAACTCAAAGTTAATATTACATAAGAACCATAAATGCGATTTATGACAACCTATTTTCCGGAAATTTTATTTTTGATCGGTGATCTGATAACTATACCACAATAGTATAATTATCAAAATATTTTTAGAACTAGAGTTGGTTATACCACTAGTTCAAAATATATTTCGTTGAATCAAAGTATTTTCTCGTATTTTAGATTTGTATATTCGATCTAATATATTTGATTCCGTGGTACTGTGTAAACTATAGCTTTTAATGGATAACGTTAAATATAGTTGAATAAATAAAAATGATAAAGGGAAAACAGAAAAAATATAAATAAACATTATTTATTAGTTAAAAACTAAATACATGTCTATATATTTTACACCTATTTTCCCAAAAATCAATTTAAATGTTATTAGTATACCGTTTTTATTCTTCGCTAGACATGTGTCATTTTTGTTTGTGACAAGCTATTAAATACAACTCATCTACAGATGTAAAAAGTTCTTTTTAAAAAAAGATCAAAATTTAATTTTATAGAGACGGTGAAGACTTAAAATTATATTATAGTTAAGTGTATAACGTGTCTAATAGCATATTTTAAAGCCTAGATTTTATTCTAAAATTATTAAGTAAATGTCATGTTTCGTGAAACTATCTTTATAATAAAGATATATTATAAATTAATTACTATATATAGTTATATTGCATTATATTTATACAATGTGTATAAATATATTATAATATGATATTAATTACATAAAAGTATTTTCAAAATAATTTTAGTTCCGTCATATTTTAATTATTAAAAATATTTATTCAACTGGGGTGTGGCACGATGACCTCTGTAAATTCGACTAAGCAAAGAAAAACTCAGTAAAAGACTATTAATTTTTTTTAAAATATTATTACTTACCTCATTATCATTAGCACGACTCTCAACCCCGTCAATAATGTTTTTCAATTATCATTTACGTTCAAACAGTAAAAAACAAACAAAAACATAATAAAGCTTATTCCTGTAGCTAATTAGTGTAGAATGCCACAGATTGTAAATACGATCGTGACAAAGATTCCATTAAATAAAATTAAAAATAATAAAATCCTACCAGCGTTATACCGAAGGATAACTACCCAACCACACCCCACAATATTAATTTACTTTAGTGCAGACTTCAATTGTGTATATATGTACTGATACATAGGGAACTACAATCATCTGCCTTATCTTCTTATGTTCATTGAAAATTTATATAAATAATAAATAAATACAGTATTTTATTTGTAATGAATATTTTTTTAGTGCAGATTAAACTTCTTTATTTCTATTACCTCACATTTAAATACTACTTCATAATAGCTGACACTATTTGTTTTTCTTATTATAAAACAAAATGCAGTATTTGAATGAAATAATTATAGTTAGGACTGCACAATTAGGTATTTTATGCATAATGATTAAATATATTTCTTAAAATAAATTTTATTAATGATAAAATATATATAATTTTAATTATACACATAGCAACAAAGCCCAATAAAAAATAAGTAAACTGGC